ATTCTCTGAAAATTCATGGCTGTAATAAAGCTGGCTATTCAACTTACATTATTGCCTTCTGATCACAATCTAGCTTATCACTTCTGCTGATGCATGCGCAGGTATATCTGTATGACATCACCACCCATACTTCCAAGTATTTGTTTATACCAAAACTATCCTCGACGGACCTAAGAAACAGTTTCTGATAGGGAGTATCCAATAGTGTGATCAAATATCTGTCTATATTTCTGAGATGAGATATTACGTACACTATTTATATTATTCGGAATATTGTCCTTATCTTTGTCGCTATATTTGTCAAAACGTTTCAGCCGTTGTACGCTCCGGCCTTCTTCAAGTGGTTGGAATGTCGAACTGAACCCTTTATTTCGATCACTGGGTTAGACTGTTCTAATTCCACGTGTCATGTTTAATGGATATAAGTTATCAGTTATCTCCTGTTAATTCCCCTCTCCAAGTTCTCCACTGCCTTAGCCAGGTATTGAACTCACACTCTATGGGTCCTGTCACTGGATTTAACCAGCGCCTTTATCCACTTTGCCAGGTGCCCTTCAGTGTGATCAAATGTTAAGATAGGTTCGCTGAAACGCTCAGCCACAATGCCTTGTAATATTATATTAGCACAATCACATACGTCTCCCGAACAATATTATCTACTCTGTTTCCCTCAAAAGCACTTTTAAAAAAATAATGAAGAGACTACTTCTCTGACAAATCGAGCATTAGGATCTTCAAAACCATCTAGCATAAAAACCCTTTTCTCAAATTTACAAGGAAACAAACGATATACCAACAAAAAATGACACGTGAACAAATGGTACTTAAAAAATAATATTAGTGGTAATAGATATATATGCGTAGTGTTTGAACTCATATATGGGAGGCTAACGTTCAGAACCTTCGGACATTCACCTATTCATTTTAATCACACGATCACCTGTCTATTTCCTGGGTGCAACATAAAATTAATGATAACTAAACAGTAATCCGACCAAACGTCTTTATAGAATTGACCAAGTTGATGAAGCATGTCCTATAAATTCACTGGATAATGAGAATGTCCAATTTATAAATCTGTGACAATGATATGAAACACGATATTTCTGCATCCCATTAGTATCTCTCTCTCTCTCTCTATATATATATATATATATATATATATATATATATATTAAATAGATAAACTCCGACAATTATAAACAGAGCATTTAATTAGATATTTGTATCTATAAACATAAAATAATGTCTTAATACACACACATATAAAGACATTTTTTACGTTTATACTTTCTTTGTACGTACGCACAAACATATATATATATATATATATATATTCTCCAAGCGTAGCTTAGATGTGGCACAAGGCCGAAAGCATGGGACATCCAGCGAGGATCGAACTCCCTTTTCTGTAGTAACTGACATAGCAAGACACACTTGCTAACCATTACACCACGCCGAGTTGCCCAGTGATTTTCCAAGCGTAGCTTCGATGTGGCACAAGGCCGAAAGTATGGGACACCCAGTGAGGATTCTTTTTTCTAAGCCCGGCTTAGATGTGGCACAAGGCCGAAAATATGGGGTACCCAGTGAGGATCGAACTCACTACTCAGTCGTAACTGATCTAGGAAGAAAAGCTTTCTAACCATTAAACCACGTCGAGGTGCCCATATATATATGTATGTATGTATTCCTATCAGCGTATTTATATATAAATAAAAACGTTTTTGCTTGCTTACAGATTGCTTTATATGTAAAGGTTTTGATGGGGATATATTTAATCGATTGCATCCCGGGGATTCTGCCACACACACACACACACACACACACACACACACACACACACACACACACACACATATATATATATATATATATATATAACGGGCACTAGGCAAGACGGTCTAAAATTTTGACATTTATTTTGGTGCGTTCCATTCTTTTCGAATCACAGATGGTGGGGATTAGTAGAAATAAAGCTCTTAAGTGATTAATTCCTGGTGCCTCCGCTTAAACCGGAAACACGCTAAGTTGCCAAAATGGCGGGAATCAATGGAATCATATTTAACGCTCGGCCAGTGCGAACTGAAATGGACATTCGACAGGTAATTAATGTGTTGTGCCAATAAGATCGTAAATGGCTTCTTTTGATTAAGATACCCATTTGTCCTCGATACGCGTCATGACTGTATCGTATGGTTAACTGTTCGTAGTGATAAACTATCGGAAACATGATTGATATGTCTTTCTCAGCATGGAAACCCCGTGAATTTTCTGAGTGAAAATGGAACGCCCACAGTAATGCACTTTGGCAGTGTTTTACGATTAGATATAGGCTCTTGAGAATTTTGATGAATTGGGTCCTCAGTATTAAGTAAATAAATTATTTAAAAAATATTAAAAGAAACGTATAAGTAAATGAATAAGTAAATAAAAGTTTGGTCTGTCTCCGACAGTCTAATTTAGCTCTTTAGGGTCGCCATATACCATTAAAATCATTTTACTCAGAAGACATTTTGTTTAGTTATTAGATGCTAGCTTGTTCGATACTGACAGAATGCCTAACTAGTGTTGTCATCTACCAATCTAGTTTCACTTTATTATTAGGTTTGCCAGAAAGTCTTGAATCACTTACGAATCGGAAAGAAAACAACATTTCATGGGGTAACATTAACATTTATTCCTCAAAATAAAGTCCATCATTCTCGACGATCTTCTGCCGACGGTGGGCCAGCATTCGACTGTTTCCCAGATACCCGTCCTTTGGCTTTCAAAAAAAAAAAAAAACTAACTTACTTCACTTCATCAAGTGTGTTGAATCGCAGGTCCCGGTAGAAGAGAGACATTGATCAGAATAAGCCATGGTCAATTGGGTCAACATCGGGACTGAATTGTGGATGTGGAAGAATTTCAACGTCCATCTGTTTCAAATTCTTAGTCAACCTGGCAATGTGTCGCCTTGCATTGTCTTGCTGAAACAAAGCCCGAACTTGATTACCAAAAGCAGGCTGCTTGTTATTTAGTTTGTTATAGACGCAGACTAGTTGCTGGTAATACACATTAACGCTGATGGTGCGACTGTTTTGAACAAGCTTGAAAAGCAGTACTCCTTTGAAATTCAACCAGGCAAATGTGAGACAAGACTTTCTAGCCAACCTAGTACATACCAATTTTCTTGTCTCTTCAATTTGGTTTTTAACATCACAGCGATTTGAACGTTGGATCTGTTGAAAATTTAAGCGGAATGGGTATCTTCTTTTTTCTCTTTTTTAAATGATTTTGACCAAAGCCACAAGAGCTCACTGAGTATGAGAGAATATGAGAAAAGAAAACTTTATTATGAGGAGAAAACAATAAAAGAACAGGAATTAATAAGACAAGAGATAACTATTGAGATTGCATTTACATATTTGAACATAATAGTTCACTGGGAAAATTAAGAAGTTTGGTTTGGTTTGGTTTGGTTTGGTTTGTATTACAGCATATCAACATGGTTATTTAATGTCGACAAGATTTTTATGGATGGTAATATTTTTCTTCAAAAATGTATTGCTGGTAATATTTTTTCCTTCAAAAATATATTGCTGGTAATATATTTTTCCTTCAAAAATATATTGCTGGTAATAATTTTTCTTCACAAGTGTATTGCTTGTAATATATTGCTTTAAAATTATATTGCTGGTAATATTTTTTTTCTTCAAAATTTCATTGCTTGTAATGATTTTTTACAAAAATATATTGCTGGTATTAAAACGTATTTTTAAACTTTCATGACGTTTTGACCCCAGTTTAGGTTCAATTATTTGTGCATAGCTGGGAATCCTAACAGGTTCTGCCACCCATGGTCCGGGTGGACCTGGGAACATTAGCAATTAAGAGGTGGTTCCACGCTCCTCAAAACCTCCTAATCAGCGGCCTTGCCGTTAGATGTAGTTTATCGCCTTACCCAGGCGCAGAGGTGTAGTTCGTGTATTCCGAAGCCCCAGCAGACAGGGTGGGAAAATCAAGAAGTGCGAAAGAAGGAACTGTTTACAGTTACATGCAGCCATTTCATATAGAAGATGATGAGACCTTGCCTCGATTTTAGTAATAGGCGTAAATTCATAAATCTAGGTACCAAAGAGAAAATTTCATCAGGTCAATTAACCATTTACAGAAAATGCTCAGAAAAGCTGCGTTACGATGGTGGGAAAGTAACAGATACTCAGATACCATGTCATGACCAATAACATTGCAGATTCGTCTTTATATTTTATCAACAATCTCTAAATGCATAGCAGAAAGAATGGACCAGATTTGACAGAAATAATCAATGTATAGACGAATGGTAAACTTGGAAATGTGTAAGATTGTTTCTGGCCTAATAGCGAGTTAGCTTTCCAACACTGAAACCTGTGTTCAAATCTTACCATGTCCGATTTGTCAGGTCGACCTTGAAAGTACCGGTCCAGGCGTAGATCTCATTGTGGTGGAAAAGCATAACGACCTTTGTTGAGTGAAATTGGGTTGATGATATTCGTCGGAATCCAGCGGTAGTTGTATTTACACGTGAATGAAAAGTCATCGTTACCGGCGTTCTGATTGCGCTGGCCTGCTGATTACGTCAAATTACGCGTTCTCTCCCAGAATGCGAGTCTATTGTTGCAGAATAGCCTGCAGGGTGGCTCACTGGGTGATGCATAAACGCAAATAAGATCTGAACAAGTGTCTGCGGCAGGGATTAGATAGATAAACCGAGCAGCAAGACATTATATATAACCTAGAAGTTGGTCGTTGTCGAAGAAACCATCCTGAGAAATCATTTATGTTAGAGTTACAGCTTTGATATTTTTTACGGTTTATCAACCTTTTGAAAGTCGATTAAAACCAGGAACTATTTTTTAGATTTTCAGAAATATTAGAGATAATAATACCATTCCCAAGAGTATTTGCGCGTAAGTGCGTATCACGAATAAAACTGGAATTCCGAGCTCATCCTTTACACAACAGAACATACACGTTTACAGCACCTACTATTCCTAAGTGGTCACCCCTCTCAGTAGTGGCCAGGCTCAACATTACTTAACTTCGGTGATCTTACGAGAATAGTGTTTTAACGTGATATGACTGTAAGCCGACATTTCTGAGTTGGCTTAAAGAAGTGAATACTGTGGAATATGTTAGTGTCGGTTTAAATTTATTTGAAGATAGGTAATATTACGCCCATAACATTAACCGATATACTGTAAACTAATATAATCAAAATTATACCCCCGCTGCGGTGTATAAGGCTAAAGCATAAAGACTCTTGTTGCGTTTGCCGTAGTTTCTGTAAGAAGTAAGATTTTATTGTGTGGAAATTTAAGCCTCAGGGCCAGCCGGTTTGGAATTCAGAGTTTTTGCCAGCGGGGGCTAGAGTTGTCATTTTCTTCTGCTATTAAACCAGAGATTCACAGAGAAAAGATGGTTTCATACATTGTGAAGGAATTTTGTGCGAAAGCCAACGGTAAACGATTCTGAAAGCCAATAATTCTTGCTTAACAGAACATTGAAAACACAAGCGTCATCGATGAAAGAAAATTCCAAAGGGACTGATTGAATTAGGGGAGATATTAGCATTATTCTTATTCAAATAATATTTTAATTTAATTCAGAAAATCGCATATATATATATATATATATATATATATATATATATATATATATATATGTATAAGTGTGTATATGTGTGAGTGGGATGAATACGAATGTGAAATTTGTCCTTAGTTGATTTAAATTATATCCAGTACACCGACTTCAGAGTTTCGCAGACGAAGCATTCAAAAAATCGTTCTGTTCACTCGTGTGGAGTTATCGGTAATTACTGCATATTTTATCGTTTTCTTTATTTTTGTATTGAGTTGAAAAAAATTATACATTTTTTATTGGTATAGATTTGATATTTTCTTCTTTTATTTCATGTGTTTGAGTGTGTGTGCGTGTATGTGTGCATGTTGGTGCGTGCTGTTTGTATGTTCGAGTGTGCACGTGTGCATAAGTGCGTATGTATAAAATGTAGTGGCTAATTCTCATTGTCATCTTCTTGCTTGCATATATATATATATATATATATATATATATATATATATATATATAAATATTTATATTTATATTTATATTTATATATATTTCTCACAGACGTGACACGGTTTCCCACTGTTTATTTCTAGAAATATATTCATGGCAAATGTTCTGACGAGCTATTTTCATTGGTACCTCAACTGCATGAATATAAGCGTGCTACTAGGTTGGCGTCTCGGTCCCACGCTTTCATTGTCGAACAGTTAACAGTTAAATGTAACCGCCACTTCTACACCAACAGCTTCTTCTCTCGCACTTCCCGACAGTGGAACTCCCTTCCTCTTACTTGATTCCCTGATAGGTCTAATCTTCAAAGATTCAAATGTAAAGTCAATCGACAACTCCTGATTCCTTGATCTTGATCCGGTCCTTCTCTTTATCCTTCTTTACTTTTACTTCCTCTCTGTAACCCCTTTGGTGTGCTAGTTGGACACCCACCTTGCTTGGGATGAAAACTTATATATATATATATATATATATATATATATATATATATATATATATATATATATAAAAGGCATAAACACTAATATTCCATGGTTATAATTTATTCCATTGGAATCGTAAATACGATCCAATTCATCAAACCTACAAATTAAAAAAAAGAAAACAGAAAAAACAACTCCGGAAATAAAAAAGATTATAATAAAATTATATATATATATATATATATATATATATATATATATATATATATATATATATATATATATATATTTTATTATAATCTTTTTATGTAGACAAAAACAATTTTATCACGAAAAAGATGCAACTTAATTTCGGTGCAAGTAGTCGAGGTGCAACAAAATACACCGAAACGAAGTTGCATCTTTTGTTTTTGTCCATATGAAAAATTATAATAAATAATTTTACTCTACTCTCGGTATTGAGCCTCTCTTGAATTAATACTGGGAACGTTACAATTCATATATTATTGTCATTCTCATTACATTCGGACATATATATATATATATATATATATATATATATATATATATATATATATATATTATTGTGTATTTAGGCCTTAAAAAGTTCATTAATTAGATTATGAAAAGTTTTTTGTGTCGATTAATTGTATTGATCGACTTTTCCAAATTATGAATAATGCTTATCAGACTAGGAGGAAATTCCATCAAAAATTTATTTCGGAAGTACTAACCATCAAGATTTCGACTTTCTTAATTCAGGGTACGTAAAGACAAGTGGTGACCTTCGTACAACTAGTGACTGTTGTGATGTAGGAAAGAGATTTTTTAACGTAGGCTAGGTGTAACGTGTGTGTGTGTGTGTGTGTGTGTGTGTGTGTGTGTGTGTGTGTGTGTGTGTGCGTGTGTGTTTGTGTGTGTGTGCGTGTGTGTTTGTGTATTTCTCTTGCATTTATGTATACATTTATATGGTTTGGTTCGGTTTGTCTTACGGCATATCAATCTCAATGGATCATTTAATGCCGGCAATTTTTTTTTTTTTTCCTAGTAATATTTTTTTATTTTGTCATATTTTCCGGAAATATTTTTTTCCTCAAAAATGTATAGCTGATAATATTATTTTCAAAAACATAATGCTGGTAATAGGTTTTTTTTTCTTTTAATTTACTTTTGGCAATAGGTTTTTACAGGTTATTTCTGGTATTAAAACCTATTTTTACATTTTTATAATGTTTTTACCTCAGTTTCGGTGTTAACTATTTTCCCATAGCTGGAACCCTAACAGGTGCTACCATCCCGGGTTAGGGTAGACCTGGGAACACCTCCTCAAAACCTCCTGATTAGAATCCTTGCTGCTGGACGTAGTTTAGCGTCTTAACCGGTATGCGGATGTAGTTTATCGTCCTACCCAGGACGGGCATACATTTATACATACATACACACACACACACACACACACACACACACACACACACATATATATGTGTGTGTGTGTGTGTGTGTGTGAGTGTGTGTGTGAAGATGCCCTGAAGATGGCATTTAAGAATGAAAACAGTATGTCGCCGCTGGGTATTGATATCAATGTACACTTTTATATATACATACGTTCTGTTCCGGACATTGAGCAATTCATCCCATAAGCATACCATACCATAGAATATAATTTCAATATTTTTTTATATATATATATATATATATATATATATATATATATATATATATATATATATATATATTACTTAAATTTCGAAGAATACTTTAAAAAATAAGACGAATTTATATATCATTATTTCCGCAAGATATTCAGAGAAATAAAGCTTTTATTGAGATATAGGTATCAACTCCTCAAATATTATGATATGTCTTTGCAGAGCTTATTGTTCGAAGAATTGTACAACTAAAAATGCGATGTTAAAAACCATCACACAAAAATTGGTACAAATCTAACCAGATGCTGTGAGTTCGTCTCTCTGTGAGTGCTGCCTTAATAGTAGAGTTCGTCCAACGAACATCTGTAAAACAAATTTCAACAGATATCTCCAGTAAGGCGTGATGGAAGAGACGTTATTAATCTTCTTTATATATATATATGTATATATATATAAAGAGATCTTAAGTATAATAATGCCATAAACGACGCTTATTGCTAGAGTCCATTTGAATTCTGCTTACGAGCAGATGTTCCGGATAATTTTTTTTTTTTTATCTTTGGGTGGTCACTTGAAAGTAAAACATGGTGGAGATATTTTTGAATTGGTTCTTTAGATGCTATCGTCACAGTGGGTGAATTCACACCGTGTAACTTTTCATAGCGGCTTGGAGTGTCACTCACGGTGGTTTTTCCCTATGCCTGGTAATGATTAGAAAAACTGAATAAAAAGATAACTGTTGAGGGAGGTTTTGAAATGTGCCATTTATTATCTCACCGGAGATAAATGAACGATTAAATTTATATATCAAGTAAAGAAGACATTTTTCTTGTTGGCATTCAATTATATTTCGCTCTGTTATAATCAGTAAATTAATGAGGGTGTTCTACATAGAGAATAATAATTTGCGTATTAAATATATATTTCCCATTAAATCTATCTATCTATTTAACAAGCGTATCTTAAATGTGGCACAAGGCCGAAAGTATGGGGCACTAGGTGAGGATCGAACTTACTATTCAGCCGTAAATATTCTACTGAGATAAGCTTGCTAACCATTACACCACCTCGAGGTGTCCCCTATGCATGTATGTATGCATGTATGTGTATACATATATGAATATTGTATGTATCTATTGTATAGGATCTGTCGTTCTGGAGAGAATATGGATCTATCTATCTATCTATCTATCTATCTATCTATCTATCTATCTATCTATCTATCTATCTATCAGTAACTATGTGTTTACATTGATATATATATATATATATATATATATATATATATATATATATATATATATATATATATATATGTATGTATGTATGGTATGGGATCCGTCGTTTTGGAGGGACCATGGATCTATCTATCTATCTATCTATCTATCTATCTATCTATCTATCTATCTATCTATCTATTTATATATATATATATATATATATATATAAATATATATATATATATATATATATATTAATATGTATGGGATCCGTCGGTCTACAGAAACATGGGTATGAGCACGTTCTGTAGGGACCATGCATCTCTCTCTCTCTCTCTCTCTCTCTCTCTCTATATATATATATATATATATATATATATATATATATATATTTAGTATGTATGAATGGTATGTGATCTTTCGGTCCACAAAGACATGTATATGCGCAAGAAAAGATATTCCCTTTTCTGGGCAGGGTTTTTCATGAGAGATCGGCCATATGGATTTGCCTATACAGCTCTTCTCCACTCTTTGCGCCACTGATGTTCTCCAAGAGAATGGTAGACGCCAATACAGCATGGCGTCTTCGCAGAAGTTTCCAAAACGAAACTGAACATGAGATTAGACTGTCTTATGAAGTCCGGTTCCGGATTTGAATTCAGAGTTGCCACTAGTGTGGTTTCCAACCACGGTTACAGAGCCCAGATTTGACCCA